CGATGCAGGGTGGGCTTTCCTGGCTCTGGCGGACACCTCTCAGAGAGGAGGCGGCTTGTCGAGAGTTCAGTCCTTGGAACGGTGGGAACGGCCATGAGAGCAAACCGTGAGGGAGAGGGAGTCCTCCTTTAGCCTCCTCCTCTTGGTGTCTGTGGGAGGGCCTGGAGTGACTCCGAGTCTTCTGCCCTTGAGAAGGCTTCTTACGCCTCTTCTTTCATGGCTCTTAGGGTTCTGATCGTGATGTCATCAGCCGCAACCACTCCCTGTCTATATGTCTAGTCAGTATTTTCTCCCCTTTGGTGTTTTATGAAGCCATATCAGTGAATCTGTTTTGTCTTTCCTTCTTGAGTGGCCCAAAGCCAGCCCTGAAACCTGGTCGTCCCTGAAGCCTAACAGAACAGGTAGAACCTGCCAGGTGAAGGAACTGACAGAGCGCTCTCCTAATCCCAGAGTCATATCCTTGTAGACAGGAGCAAGCTAGCTTTCCCAAGAAAGTGTTCTAGAAGCGTTTGATGATTTTACTGAAGGATGTGAGCTTTGTGTTACTACAAAGGCTTATGGAAGGTTCCTTTGCTATTTTGGGTCCCAGGAGCTGCCTTGATGAGTCTTCACACCCTACCTTCCTAGGAACAGCTACATCACTTTTGTTTCATTTTCCCTAAACCAAAAAATGATACTTGATGTCTAGTATTTTGGAAGGATATGTGCAATGGAAATTTTGTCATTTCCCTAAAACGGGTGATGCAAAGGCTGATGCTCCGGGAAAGCCCCATGGCTGGGGCTGGGCAACTCTGTTCAATGGGATATTCTTTGGTTTGATGTTCCCATTGTTTTCTCAATTCTGGGAAGCCTAGTACGATAGTACTAATGTAATCACTGAAGCCTTTTCTTAAAATAAGGGAAGGGGCCAACCCTGGATTTAGCTACAAATTCTGGGGACTTGGGGGTCTGCAATAAACCCTAACAATGGGTTTTGGTTCATCATGTAAATGCAACTTTGATTTTTTAAAGGACTTAACTGGCCTTTCACCTTCCTGTATTCCTCATGCTTACCATGTCAGCAGGCCTAAGAGGCAGGGTCAGTTTTGCTGTTAATCAAGAGTGTTGCTTCTGCTGTGGATCAGAGGAACACGGGACGTTGCCGAGACAGTGGGATGGAAGTGAGCATTGAAGGGAGAGTGTGAGACCCTGCCCTTGTTCCAGCGGGGAGTTATTTTCCAGCAGTGGAATGCTGTGGTCATTTTCTCTAACATGTTCCCTGGGGAAACCTAGGTTTGCTATGAATCTGGCTGAAAATCTAAGTTCTGTGCCTTAGAAACCATTTGCACTTTCCCCAATTGTGCCTGGGACAGCCACATGATTTTCCCCACCAAACAGCTATGCAAACGGAAACCAGTTCAAAGGTGGCAGCCGTGCATTAGATAAAAAGTGAAAGGTGAGGCAGCAGAAACGCCTTTGAATGGTTTTCTGTGCCTAATTCTCTACTTTTCTTCTCTGTGCAGTGCTAGGTGGTTTAAGTTCTCCAGTGGTCATGCTTTTGAGCTACAGTGTAGTGTGAGTCCCTCCTCTGCTCTGACCCTGTTGCTGAAGAACTAGCTTTTGTTCGCCAGATGTTTGCAAGGTTGAGGGTGGAGTGGTTTGGCATTTCTGTTTTAAATAAACATTTAAACTTTCAATAATGCTGTGCCTCAGTAAGTCTGTGCACGGATCCCAGTCACCACGGGCACAATACTCCAACTCTGGGCCTTCCTGAGTCTTTGAATCAAAGGTCTGTAACAGACAATGCAAGGGACATTTGCACAGAAATCATTTTTGCCTCTTTTCAGTTTCTCCTTGCTCTCAGAGTCATTTTCTACTACAGCTCCGCACCCCCCCTCACCCAACCCAACTTCTGAAATATAGTGCTTAAAATGCAGAAGGAGAAAAATAAAAAACGCCATTAACAGGAAGGATCATCCGGGCTGGTGTGGCTCAATGAACTGAGTGTCAGCCTGTGAACCAAAAGGTCGTCTAATTTATTGCCAGTCAGGGCACCTGCCCAGGTTGCCAGCCAGGTCCCAGTTGGGGGTGCAGAAGAGGCAACAGATCCATGTATCTCCCACATTGATGTATCTCTCCCTCTCTCCCTCCCCTGCCCTCTCTCTAAAGTAAGTAAAATCTTTCAAAAATAAATAAAATACAAGGAAGGATCACTTCTGGTACTTGTCTCCCCAGTTACAGTGGGCCTTTTCGAGTGATAGTGCCTGTTTATGTTTATAAAACTTTTCCCTCAGAGGCTGAACTGTATTTTGGTCACCCTGGCATAACATAGCCACGTTACAACTTCTGTTGGCTGAACACTTCAGTGAACTTGAAAGCTAGAGCAGCCTTGTACTCACATTTCATTTGGTTTGCCATAGATTTGCAAACATTCACAATAGAACAGCTCTGGAGTTAAGATGTATTGTAAATAAACTCAAGTGAGTATCCCTGGGCCTAAAAAGTATTGTTAGGGCAGAGTAGGCTGTGGTCAGGGCTACAGAACGTGTTCCTACCTGCTGTAAAACCAGAAATCATTTGTTGCTTCAATAATTAACGATGGATATAAACACACTGATCACTAAGCCTCACAGAATCATTAACACTAGGGAGTAAAACACTATCACATCTCTGCTATCTCCTGTGATAAATTGATGACAAAAAAAAAAATGTTGGCCAGGAGGTATTGTGCTGCCTTAAACACACTCCTGTTCGGCAGCACTATTTTAGACACCCCCACACACTTTTACCTGTAGTGGGTTACCATGAGGTTCTTCCGGCTGCTTAACCTTTTGAACTTAAAAAAAATTATAGCATTTACTTTCACTAGCTTCTTAGATGAAGCAATGTGACATGGGCTAACAAGCACTGTTTATTTCTCCACGATCATCCTCTGCTATCCAGGAAGAGACTTAGATACAAAAATGTTTCTAACCTCTTCCCAAAGATCAGATCAAGCTAAATTTAAAAGACTAATAGACATTGCTAATAAAAGCAAGGCCTGAGCCTGTTGCAATTGAAGGAACACTGAGACATTGTTTGATTTCCCTAGCAACGTAAGAATGAGTAACTGCTTCCTGTGTCAATAAGAAAGCACTCCCCAACACACGTCTGTTCTCCCAGGAGGGCCCTGATGATCTGTGTTCTTAGTAACATCATCCAGGGATCCCAAACCCACTGCGGCGTGCGGGGGAGGGGGGGGAGGCAGAAAATGCAAATAAGTGAAGCAGGCCAGGAGGAGCTCTGGTGATCAGAATATTCTCCCCCCTCAAGGAGCCACTGATTCTGAACCTCATTCATTTAGTGCTATGCATGGTTGCTGGCCTGGTGTTTCCAGAACTTCAGTTATTTAAGAGATGCTCCATATCCCAATTTTTAAATGCCGGATGTTTTTAGTGCTGTGCCAACCAAATAAAACACCTGTGGGGCAAAGCAGTCCACAGGCTACCACTTAAGTGATGCTGACCACAGCTTGTTCTTGCCATTAAGTGTGAAACAAAGCTTGTACCTTATTGAACTTGCCCGGGGGATGTATATATTGGATCACACTATCAAGTGTGGCCCTGGCTGGTGTGGCTGTGGATTGAGCACTGACCTGTGAACCAAAGGTTCGATTCCCGATCAGGGCACATGCCTGGGAATTGCAGGCTGAGAGGCAACCCATCGATGTTTCCCTCACACATTGATGTTTCTCTGCCTCTCTCCTTTCCACTCTCTCTAAAAGCATATAAATAAAATCTTAAAAGATATATCCAGTTGTCTATGTGAGGTTTCTTTTAAGTGGCAAACCAAAAGCCCTGTCATGTGATACCTCTTTCTTTTCAACAAGAGCATAAAGCAATTCAATATATGCTGTCTTTAAAATATAAATTTCAGTCCAGGCCAGGGAGCTCGGTTGCTTAAAGCGTCGTCCCAACACACCAAGGTTGCAGGTTCCATCCCAGTCGGCGCGTACAAGAACCGACCAATGAATGCACACGTAAGTGGGACAACAAATCAGTCAGTCTCTGTCTCTCTTTAAAATCAATAAATAAAAACATGTAATTGTTTTCCAGCCTAGTGTCCTGGAGCCTCACAGCCAAAGCCTTAAACTCACGTTTCAAATCGGTTTGCTCTGTTAGCGCAGTCACCCGGCAGAAGCTGCCAAGGAGATGAAACCGGACTGAGTTGGCCATCTGCTGTTGAGTAAAACACGGTTTTGTTGTCTGCCCAGTCCCCTTTGCCCAGGTCAGGCTGGGTGGGTTTTGTTTTGTTTTTTCAGGCTGGGTGATTTTTTTCCCCAGGATTTTAAACTAGCCGTTTGAGGAATGCTGTCAGGACAAGAACCCTACTAGGTATTTCCTACTGGTAGACCTGCTACACCAGCTTCATCCTATTGGAACTGCTACCACCCGTCAGACATTACCTCACCACTGCTCCCACACACCAAGTCTGGGACTCCCATTTTTATTATTTGGTTAATTTTAAATCCCTCAAACCCATTTACTGAGGGCCTAATAAAGGTTACTTGCACTAGGCCTGATTCTGCAGAGAAAAAAAAATCTGGCACCTCTTCCTTCCAAGCGTACTTTCTAGAATAGAAGGTAACTGGCATCTTCAGCAGGGACATGTGACAGCTTGCTTTGATGGTACATTCTGCTGCCTCATTTAAAACACCATCCAACCAACTCCACCAGCCTAGTTTGAGAGCAGAGTGCTAGCACCAGCTGAAACTGGAGCTGCTTCCCCCCTTTTGGCATTAGAAAAGAACTGCAGAGACAGTGTGCTTCCCCCCCACCCCTGCCCTTTGCAGTAGATCAAGGTGAGGTTCCCTTCATTACACAGTACACCGCAGGAAGGGGTTAGGATATATCGGCACTAACCTCTCATGCTCTTTTATGGGCTTTTAGCCAGGACCGTGCACCAGGGAGGTCAAGGATGGGCTTCCATTGGCCTTACAACAAAATCATACTATCTTGTACAAGAGATATCATCTGGGTGACCATGAACCTCTGAGACCGCTCATCCTAATGAGCCAACTTCCTGCAAGAGCAGGAAGAGTTAACGAACCACAGACAGAGATGCAGAGGCAGTGGCAAGAAGGCAGAACAAATGCAGGCACTGAGCACAAACCACAAGTGAGCCTGTAAGGTGGCTTTAATGTAGCCTGCTTGCTACTCGTGTGTCTTCGCCCATCAGTTCTTAGGGAACGAACATAAGACCCACCAGCCTGAGGTGGTAATTTAGTGGGGAGTGAGCTTTCCTTCTGCCTTCTGCTGCTTAGCAGTGGGTTTCTCCTCACTGATTTCAGCTCTGGGTAGATCTGGGAGATGTAAAAGTTTCGTTCTTCCTGCTTTGCATCAAATTATTCTCCCACTTACTGCTGAAGAGAAGCAGAGCTTCCTGGAGCTATCGAGGAGGTTTCCACTGTTGTCTGCTCAACTGTAATGCTTTCTTGGAGGTGGAGGACGGTTCTTAATGGTCTTACACTTGGGAATGTGCCGCTCAGCCACCTTGGGAGCAAAGTGGCGGCTACAGTGAGGACACTGAATATAGTCTGGGTTTTCTGCAGGCGGGATGGGAGGCAAGTCTGAGGCGTTTCCACCTTTGGCAATGACCTGCTGGACCTCTCGAGCCTGGCGGAGGGTACGGATGAAAGATTCATGCTTCTGTCTCCAGTTGCTCTTCCGAGGCGGTTCAGCCTGTAGGTAGAAGGAAGACCGATCATTCAACTTGGCGGTTGTCTCATCTCCTGAGTCTCCGCTAGAATGAGAGTAAGGAAATAAAAGGGGTGCTACTCCTCAAGGTCAAAGAGAACAGGAAAGGAGCGCCAGGGAAAACTGACTTGCCTGAGTGGAGGCACATAAACCCAGGGCCTGCGAAGGGGAGGAGTCTTGAGAGGCAAGCCCTTCCCCCAGCAGAGACCTGAAGAGCCTCTGTGCTCGGGAGCACCGGGCCCCAGGGCGGCTACCCAACCTTGCCCACCCCGCACCCTCACAGGACAACGGGGGTTTATTCTTTGGGAAAATCCAACCGGGCAGGTGTCAGACTCAGGAAATCCAGGCACAGGGAAGGAAAGGGTTCATCTTGGGGCTGAAACTAGGCATTAAGTGCAAGTATATATGATGAAGTGTGGACGTGTCAGCTTCCTTCCCCCGCTCGGCTCCCAGGTTACCAGGCACATGGGCACCTTCTCAGGAGGCTGAAAGGGTTTCAGGAGGCACCGAGCAGGCGACAGAAAAGCCATCAGACACTGGCTCTGGAGGACTCCAGTGAAAAGGCTATTTGAAAACCCTAATGCAACAGTCTTTAGTCAAAAAGCCCCACTTAAGCTTAAAGATAAATGGATTAGTCAAGTATAATGGATTAGTTAAGTCAAGTATTAACAGACATTTAAGTTCCAACAAGAGACAAAACAAAACAAGTACACACGCAAACACACAGGAAACAACAAAGTAGGCAGCAGAAGAAAACATTTTTTAAAATTTATTTTTAGAGAGGAAGGGAGGGAGAGAAACATGGATCGGTTGGCTCTTGCACACCCCCCACCCAACCCAGGACCTGGCCCACAACCCAGGCATGTGCCCTGACCGGGAATCGAACCAGCAACCTTTGGGTTCACGGGATGGTGTCCAAAGGTTGGACACGGAGCCATACCAGTTGGGGCACAACCTAGTTTTATGTGAACCAAAAATAAAGTCCTTTACCTTTAAGGTGTTTACACTGTAAATGGAGAGAAGAATTCCAAACTTAATCGTGTTTCATGTTTTTATTTAGAACGTATACCAAAATTGAGCCCTGGCTGGTGTAGCTCAGTGGATTGAGCGTGGGCCTGCAAACCAAAGGACCTTCAGTTCCATTCCCAGTTGCAGGCCAGGTCCCCAGTCGGGGGTGCTCAAGAGGCAACCACTCATTGATGTTTCTCTCTCTCTCTTTCTCCTTCCCTTCCCCTCTCTCTAAAAATAAAGAAATACAATCTTTATAAAACATTGCGTTAAAAAAAAGGAAGTATACCAAAATTGAGCCAATCTTGAAAACATAGATGTGGTTACAGGAGTGATAACAGAGTTTAATCTTGGGAGGTGGCAAAGTATATTGCAAATTGAAAGTAATTCTCTAGAAGTAGTGAAATACAAAATAGTTTAATTTTTAAAAATTTTTCTACAGTAAATGTTTATTATTTTTATAGCCAAAAGGACATATATTTTTAAGTCTAGATTTTGGAGTCATTCCAACCCAGATTTATATGCTGACTCTGCCATTTAAAGCTGTTAATATTCACCCTGGCTGGTGCAGCTCAGTGGATTGAGTGCTGGCCTGTGAACCAAAAGGTCGGAGGTTTGAGTCCCAGTCAGGGCACATGCCTGGGTTGCAGGCCAGGCCCCCGGTTGGAGGTGGGCAAGAGGCAACCAATCAATGTAATCTCTTGCACAATGATGCTTCTCTCCCTCTCTCCCTCCTTTCCCATCTCTCTAAAAAGTAAATAAATAAAATCTTTTTTTAAAAAAGCTGTTGATGTGCATCTCAAGCAAATTAGCCTCTGTGAGACTTGACTTTTGAAATAAGAGATAATGAAATCTCACACGGTTGTGGTAAGGGCCATATGAAAAGCTCCTATCACAATAATAATCAATAAATGTTTTCATTTTCTCTTTCGCTCTATGACACTTGCAATTTTTCTTTAAAAAAAAGTAAAAAACCTTATGAAGAATAACAGGCCCTTGCAATGATCCCCACTCAAAGTCAAATCTATAAGGCCCTCGTTACCTTGACTGAGGCTGGTCCCTTCCAGTTCAAGTACTGTTCTAGTTCTGTGCCCTTGGCCCGGGCCCTGGAGGAGTCAAACACTTTCCTCTTGGAACCCTGCATCCTGCTGCAGACACTGGAGTGCCTCTCTAGCCTGAGCAGGAGGAACTTGCGTCCACAGTGACTGCACTCGCCGAGCTCTGGCTCTTCGGTGGAACAGCTGGAACCCGCGGAGTCTGGTGCCCTAGGCAAGTTCGAGTTGCTGGTGCACCCTGGCAAAGCACTGCCTGGCGCCTGTGAAGGCTGAGAAAACTTCTCTTTCACCGGCTCCGAGACTTGGTCTTGGATTTTGCTATTGCTTGCCACTAGTCTTTCCCTTTTGAGGATCTGTATCCCATAATCAGAGAACAAGAGTGGACTGGAATTTTCGTGAGACCGTGCCCAAGTTTCAGCCTCTCCACTGTCTCTACCGAAGGCCTCCTTAGGCTCGTATTCCTGGGAGAAGACCGGTTTGTGCAGGGCGATGCTGTTCCCTTGAACTCTCCTCCTGAGGCGTGTCAGTCTTTGTACCTCTCCTTCTTCATTTTCCTCAGTCTGTTCCTTTCCTTTCTGGATCCTTCTGAGTTCCTCTTCCGTCTTCTTCAGTTTTTCCCTCAGGAGGGTCTCTTTTCTTCGGATTTCCTCCTCTAAACTCTCCCCTGCGGCTTCTAGTCTTTGGATCTGCATCCACTCAGTCCTCTTGGGGTTTGCCATGGCCCTCTCCACCTGCGTGGCAGCAACAGTACCGACTACAGATGAGTTTGCCCAGTTCCTCAGACCAGAGCTGCTGCTTGAAAACTCCCGTGGCTCGGGGGGTCTTGGAGAGACATTCGGGTCCCAGTCCATGCCACTCTCACCTGTACTTCGAGACTTCCGATGGAACACGGGTTTCAGTGGGTATGCCCGGTCCACCCCAACTCGCTTCCTTGTAAAGGGGATGAATTCCTGGTTATTTGCTTTGGGATACCGCGATTGAGGGCCTGATGAGTAAAAGAAACCCTGTGCTTGACTCTGGAGATTGCTTCTTGGATCTGGCTGCCCGGTTCCAGCACAGTGCGGACAGAAGTAGCTCTGGGTTTTGGTGCAGGTGTGCCATCGGGACTGAGTGTGCAGACTACCCAGCGCTGGCTCTTTGTTGCTCAAAAGCTTCTCCTGGGAATTGCTCCTCAGGTGCCCCATGGAGGACAGCAGGGAAGAGTCCGTTTTTTCACAGGGGCTTTGCTTAGTTGAGTGGAACTCTGGAGCTTCCGTTTTTTTATACGGCAGCATAACACCCACAGGCAGAGGTGGTGCCAAATGCAGACCAGCCATTCAGGGCCTGGACTGAAGCCTAGGGGGGATGTAAACCAGATATATGTGAGAAGTTTGTCTGAGATTCCCCCTGGGGGCTAAGGCAGACTGTTTCTACGTTTGTTCTACCTACATTTTCCTTTAAACTTTTTAGTTTAGGGACAGTGGTGCTGGGTCTGCTAGGTCTGCTGGGTCTGCTTTTAGTTTAGGGACAGTGGTGCTGGGTCTGCTAGGGCTTTCTTTCAATGGGCATTCGGTGAGTGCTTATTAGGTCACGTGAGGGCTTGTTAGGTCCTGAAGTTAGAAAACGGAGTGTGATACAGGTGTTCCTGCCTAAGCCCGTACCAGCCTCCTCTGTACACAGTGATGCTCCGCCCACACTCTGTAACAGGTGGAAGGAGTTACTGAAAAGAGCTATTGGATTGAAAGTCAGGTTTTAGTCTTGTGACACAGGACAAGCAACTTGCCCTTGCTGGCTCCAGTTTCTTCTCCCATAAACCGAGGGCTTCGCTCAGAGTTACATGACTGTAATTTAGGGATATTAGGACTACAAGATCATTTTACAGGTGAGAAAACTGTGGCCCAGACATAACACCTGGCACACAGAGCTCTCAGGGCTTCCCACCTGCTGGATCCGTGCTTGACTCCCAGGAGCAAAGAGGCCGCCCAGGGCCTGCAGCAGGTGCTGGCTGTCAAACCCTCACCCAAGGAGTAGGAGTCCCTTGCCGCAAGACTGCGGGACGTTTGTAACCTGACAAGCGAGGGCCACCTGACCTGACTGCGGAGCCTTTTGGATCCGGAACACGGAAGTCACATTCTGTCCTGGAAGGTCAGCCGGGCGCCCCCACTGGGGACTCCGCTTTGGAGACAAGCCTTCACTCTTTTGTCCACCGGGCCCTTGGGAGGTCGAGGTGCTGACCCCATGTCTCCCCGCCCTTCCGCATACCTGAGGCTCTTAGGGTCAACGGCTCAGGACTTAGTTTTCCGGACCAAACCCCCTTCACTCAACCGACGGCCACGCAGGCGCTCTCAGCTGGCCCCTGTTATTCCCGTTGCCTGGAGACGGGAGCGCATGCGCGCCCAGCCCCTCTTCTCGCCGCGAACGCCCCCAGCAGGGGGCCGAGGGCGGTGGGGGTTGGGGGCGCGGCGAGGGGCGCGGCGTGGCGGGGAATGTCGAATCACGCACAGTCGCAGTCCTAATCCGAATGGGAGCGGCTCGGCAGGGCCTGAGGTCGCCCTAAGGGTCACTTGACCCGGAATCCCGCCAACTTTGCAGCTCCGTCCAACTTTGCTCTTGGGGAAAGGAGGAGGGGACGGGAAAGCTTTCCTGGGCCTCCATCAAAGAACTTGTGTTTTTCTGAGAACGATGACCCGTGACCTGGGGCATGCCCTTCTCCGGCAGAGAAAGGAGGCCCTTAGCTGTGCCCTCCAGTCATTGTGCCGCAGGACGCCGAGGCCCGCCCACTTAGCGGGAGTGGGCCTGCTAATAGTCTTTCTTGGCAGCTTGGTAGGGGCCCCAGGTATGGCTATATATTATCTCTCCGTGCTTTTTCTCGCCAATGGTTTGGACTTCGCGGTCAGGTTTTAACAACTTGGCGAGGTTTTGCCAAGTGTCTTTCTGGGGTAGTTTTGTAGCCAATCTAATTATTTTGATTTAGTGTTTTATTCTCACGTGGTTACTCTGTCTGTCCGTCTCTTAGGGCCCAAGAATGACTCAACCAAATGTAATGCTAATAAAGCTATCAGATGGAAAATAATCAGTATAACCTGGTTTCGACACTAAATGATATTCTATGACTTGTTAACATCAGAAGAGGTTATTTCCCCCATGCTTCAGTTCATTTGTGTAAGCTGTTTGGAACAAGCAATTGGTTATTTTCCCTGTAACTACTTAAAAGATTCATGCACATGGAAAATAATATAGACAGCAGTAGTCGGTGTTAATACTTCAACATCTCATATTATGGCTTTTACATATTACAAAGAAATCCTTGGTGAGTCCTCCAGAACATTTTTTTTTAATTCCTTGCTTTCTTTCCTAGTTGACTCTCTCCTGCCGTCTCTAATATGGGAGTTCCAGACATTTCCACTCTTAAGGTTCCAATTACCTCGGCAACTGCCTGCCTGTCATCAACTCCCTTCCAGTCTGGCAGAATTTCCTAGGGTGCCTCCTTCCATCTTGACTTCTTTTCTTTTCATTTTTAAAAAATTAATTAATTGATGTATTTATTTAATCCTCACCCAAGGACATTTTTTTCATTGGTTGTTTGTTCAGAGAGAGAGGGAAGCACCGATGTGAGAGAAGCATCCATGGACTATCTCTTCTTGCACACCAGAAGGGTGGGTCGAACTTGCAACCTGGGTACCTGCCCTGACCCGGAATCTAACCTGCCACCTTTTGGTTTACAGTATGACACTCAACCAACTGTTCCACACCAACCAGGGCCCTTCCTTCTTGTTTTCGAGGAAGAAGAATCTTTCCCTTTCCACGAGTTCCAATCTTGAATTAGTCCCTTTCAGGAATGGACTCCACCTTGTTAACTCCGAGTTGTACCTATCAACATATTCCTTCTCTTTGGTTTTAAAATACAGGGGTGGCAAAGGTGAGTTTACAGTTGTGAGTACTCAAAACAGTTTATTCCTGTGTTATTTATTAATTGTTGTATTATTTATTTGTATTACAACTGTGATGGGGGACTCAAATGGTGGAAAATTTTTAGTTTCAGGTAATAGCTAATTAGGTTAGTAATCAATGCAAGTAAAAAGCTGTTGATTCAGGAACTGAAGGTATAACCCACCCTGACTCTAGGAGACCATAAGCAGCTCCACCTTTGTGCCTCAGGAGGACTGCAAGCAGTCAATAAAGTGTTTAAGCCATTGTGCTCCAGGGTGAGACTGAGCCCACTGCCCAGGGCACAGATGAAAGAATGCTGCAGCTTTTTATCTGATTAACTTTCCCCTGAATTCCAACCCCCTTACCTACACTTTTCTTCTCCTTATAAAAAGGGTCGGTTTAAAATGGAATTGAAGATGGTCTGTTAGGGTACAAACCCCTGTCTTCTCAGATCACCGACCACCTGAATAAAGTGCCAGTGAGGATTCAGTCCCTGCCTCTGCTTATTGGGTCTGGTAGGTGACAGCATCTACACCAGCTTTTCCAGTTTCAAACCTGCTTTTGCTCACTCCTGTATGCTTTATTTCCCCTATAAAACAAACCTTATTTCCCTTGACCTGCCACCTCTTATCTTAGGGTCCCGTTCATTACTCTTCTTCTAAAAGAAGAATTCTTGGTAGAAAACTTTACATTTGCTGCCCCCCCCCCCCCCCACACACACACACTTCCTCAACTCCTCCTCACTGTCCAGAACATTATAGCGGGCTTCTACTCTTTTCACTTTACTTAACTGCCAGGCTACTGGTGACCTTCCAATGACCAAAGACAAAAGCTGCTGCTTCTTCCACTTGCTTATTTGATATTATTTTCCACTCCCTGGAACTGTCTTCTCACTTGTTCCTCTGCCTTCTTGGTTTCTTCTGTCATGTCCTTGCCCTGTCTTCTTCCAGGCCTCTGTCATTTGTCTTTTCTTCACCTGCCCCCCACCCCACGCTTAAGTGTCCTCCTGAGCCCTCTTATTTCTCATGTGTGTGCAGGTCCAGACATTCTCTTCCTTAATGTCTCAACAAAATGCAGAAATCTCAGGTGTCACCTATGTTTAAATCATATCCAGCTTATCTCTCTCTCAATTACAGACACAAATTTCCAACTTACCATTTAGTTCCCCAGGAATCTCAAACTCAATATGGCAGGAAACACACTTGTCCCCATCCTCCCAATCCACTTCTCCAGTATTCCCTCTCATGCTGAAAGCATCAACTGCCTTCTAGCCACCTTGTCACCCCTTCCTTTAACTGGCCAGCAGGCTCTGTTGAATTTACTCTGCAAAGTCTCATGTATGACTCTTCCTGTACAGTTCCAGCTGAGTTCTTCCTCACTTCTCATTGGAACGGCATGCATCCCTGTCCTAACTGCTATTCTTGTCTTCAGAATCTGCTGCCCAAGCCCATCCTTCATGCTGCTGCCAGAGTAGTTATCCTAAATATTCCTGATCCTATCATTTTCCTACCCAGTGGCTGCTATTTCACTTATAGAATAAAGTTGAGATGTGTAATTTTAATCTGGTATTTCAACCTCTAGCCTCCCTTTGAAGCCCTTCCTCTCCAGAGTCTACTCCAGTGGATTTCAACCCTAGCTGTGGATTTCAGAATTATCTGAAAAGCAATTTTGGGGGATGAGTCCTCGGTATCAGCCTTTTTAAAAGCTCCCCCAATGCGCAGCCAGGATTGAGAACCCCTGGTCTAGCCACATCTGACTACTTGCACTTTCTTACCTCAGTGGTACTGCCTTACCCCAAGCACCACAGACTGGGAGGTGGTAGAGCATAGCCTTTATGGGAATGGGCTCTGTACTTAGACAGTTTGCAACTAAATCCCAGCTCCATCACTTGCTGGTTGTGGTTGGATAATAGGCTGTTTCCTCCAAGAATGTTTTCCCAATCTTCCCACTCAGAATGGATCTCTTTGCTCCTTTGTGCTCTTGTGTTATCTTCTGTTCTGGTTATAACACAGGGCTGGCTCATGGTTAACTCTCAGTGGATGTTCATGGAATTGGGCTAGTATGTTGTGCATTGTATTGTCATTATTTGCATGCATATTTCTTGCACTACATTTTAAAAGTCTTTGAGGACAAAGATTATATATCATTCATTTTTATATATCCTATAATGTCCCACACATAGTAAACAGTCAATCAGTTTTTAATTCTATAGAGAAACTAGTTTTTAAGTGAATTTTAGAGAAAGAACATCAGCCACATACTCTGTTTAGCATTATTTCCAACTACTGCCAAGCATAGCATGCAATCCAGCTTCCCCCCACCCCCCAACTCCACCCCATGCTAGCACTAAGATGATATGACTCTCCAGGATCCAGGGCCTCACTTTGTAGCGGGGAACTAATGAAATGACTAATCAACATGGCTTCCATTGCAAAGCCATCTCCCCTTGCCAAGTCTGCCGCCGTCTCGTATTCACATAGGCGTCTTGTATTTGAAGGGGTGAAATGTGTACAAGCAGTCCAAAGGCAGACTCTGGTGGGCAGCTTCTAGTAGCACAGAAGGAGAAGCAATCACCACTAGGACCTCTAATACGTGTATCTCCTCTGCCCCCCAGTTCCAGACTTAGGCATGACTTAAAATTTGAGAACTGAAAGAAAAAGGGAAGAAAGGCTGCATGTGTCCTATTGCAGTTCTTTATGACGCTTAATGTTTATTGTCTGCCTCCCATCTCCAGAATTTAAGCTCCCCCAGGAATCCTTTTTGTTCACTAATATATTGATATGTCAACTACCTAGAACTGTGCCTGACACAGAGAAGACTCTCAGTAAATATTTACTGAATGATTGAAATAATCTCAAGTGTTTCTTCGTCACGCCCTTCTTCCCACGAGAAAATGAGAAAAGAGATGCGCTTAGTGATAGAGAAGGGGTAAGGACTGGGGCTGTCCAGTCCGAGCTGACACCCTGGACAGATCCCCAACGGTAGGCTCTCGAGCAATCCCACACGTTGGGTCCCGAAATCCCACCCTGTGGGCGGGCTCTGGGCCGAGCACACAGTTTCTGATTGGTTGGAGGGTGTGATAGGCATGCAAGGCCGCGAAGGAGGAGCTGCGCTCTGAGCTTCCGGATGCGGCGGTTAGCGCCTCGGGAACCGCGCCGCCGTGGTTGCCCGATTTCCCGACCAGGAGGTTGAACCCGGGACCAGGCCCGGGGCGTGCCCATTAGTTCGATTAGCCTTAAATGTTAGTAAAAGGGGATTCTGGGGAGCTTGTGGAAGCGAGGCCCGTGGGAAGAAGGAAGGGATGGAGAGGGAGCGGGGACCGGTGTGGAAAGGTCAATGAAGAAAAAGATAAATGCCCCCACAGAGGCCTCTATGGGCCATTTTGACCCGAAGTTCCCTTGCCCAGGTGCCTTTCCGTTACTTCGCACACCTGCGCCGACGCGTAACCGCTTACCTGCGCTGAAGTTCCGGGACCTTCAGGTCAGGGACAGGTGGGAAGTGTGGGTGTGGCCCTTTCTGCCTCAGGATGGGGGTCCTGGAATTAATGAGTCCCGTTTATTTTTCTGTTTTCCCGGTTTCTGACAGATTTGAGCAGGAACATGGCAGAAGGGGACACCCTGATATCAGTGGATTATGAAATTTTCGGGAAGGTGCAAGGGGTATTTTTCCGCAAGTACACCCAGGTATGTATGTGGCCTACAGGCTTTTGGGACGTGCCGAGGTTACTTACGTGCGTGGAAACGAGGGACATGTCCCGACCAGGTGCATTAGGAGGAGAAGCTGGCTGTTTAGTAGCTGCATGGCAAAGGCGGTTTGCAGAGCAGTGGGTATGAAAGTGCTTTGCAACGGGTAAAATACCATGTAAATGGAAGGCTCATCTGCTTTTTAAATTTTTTTTTTCTCCTGACAGTGGTACTTGAGTACCTAGACACATATTCATGAGCTTCTCTCCTTCAAAGGGCAGTAGAGGTCTTTCCCAGTTCCCCCAGTTGTGGCATCATGAAACCAATCACAATTCTTGTAGGAAAGCTAAAGTTGACCAGGGAGATGGCACTGAGATGAACTCATGACATTTATGTAATTTATGTAACAGCTTCTTCTGTGGCTGCTGCCTT